ATCCAGAAAGTGTAGAAGTTAGAGAGACATAAAAGCACTACATCAGTGTTACCAATACATTTTGTAAATCTAATTATAGGTGCATCATCACAGAACAAAAATACAATACCCACACCCTACCTATTAAACTTTTTTACAGCTCTGATAACCATTAGCCTTGGAAATGAAAATAGGAAAGAGAAAGTGCTACAGCTGCAGAACTGCCTGCAAAAATAAGCAGCTCTACAGGACTTAAAAAGAAAAAAGAACAGGAAAAGAAATGGATTTGTAAGTAAATTCACAGCATTTAATTACACATCTGAAGTAGAGCCTACTAAGTGTGCAGCAGCCTTTCAAGGCACATGAAGCTTGCTTGGCGGGAAAGCCAAACTGGATTTTTAATAAATAGCATAGCCTGGATTTCAAAGAACATTGGATTCAACTTTCTGCTTCTAGGCGTAAGTACAGATTTGGTGTAATTTTAGATAATGTCTTTGGACTTAAGACTTCAGAAACAGAATCTTGTTTGAGGCATAACAATACAAATGGCTGCTTTAACTTCAAAGCAATGTTTAAAAGGTCTCAATAATAGAAACATTCAGCTAAAGCAAGAAAAGGATAAAACTCCAATGACAGAAATATCATCACAAATCCTCCCTGCTTTGTGCAGTGTCATTTCCAATGCACTTCAGACTGTACAGAGAAAGAATGCCAGTGCATCTACTATGGGATCACATGCACATGCATATTTATCATGAAAGTACAAAATCTCTTCTGAATTTCTATTTTAACAATGACAGAAAATACACAGAATAAAGAGTACTAAATTGCTATTCTTTATCCTTCATTTATAGTGCAATATGATTTTAGAAAGAAATGTTAAATATGATATTTCGTTTTCAGTTGTGGTGCAGTTTTAGCCAGTTTTAACATTACTTAACTCTAAGAAATGGGGGAAATCATCTCTAATATTTCAATAAATTTTAATACATCCTTGACAAGCCAATCAGGCAAAACCAAGACCACAGAAAATAAAAAGTAAAGCTGAATAACCTCTGACACATGCTTACTTATTTTCTCCCAAAAGGAATGCCTAGCTCCTCACTCCTCACACTCAGATGTCTGTTACAGTTATTTTCCAAAGCAGAACTTATGCCTTTAGGTCTCTTCACTATGGCATATGACACCTAACAGAGATAAAATGGATTTATTTGCTTCATGCTTATGACTTTTGTTTAAATAAGGTTCCCCAATACAATAGTGATTGTCCTCCTAAAGGGAAAATGGAAACACTTGTTTTGTAATCCCTACTCAAATAAAAACACCAGAGCAACTGGCTTAAATGTAGCCCATTCAGTAAAACCCCTTGGTTTTGGGAATCTGTATGCCATGTCTTCCTGCAGTGACAAAAATCTCCCTGCTTTCATCACTTAAATGAGGTAAAAAACCTTCCAAGTCCAGGAGCAATGTCCTGGCATGAAGCTGGTGTGATGAAGAGTCAAGGCAGGCTGTTACTGTGCCATGATGATGACACAACTGCTATAGACAATGCTTCCCAAAACAATTAGTTTCCTGCACTGAGTTTAATACACCCCACTACTTACCCAGCACTACACTGGGCTGTCTTCGACACAAACTCTTGCATATCATAATGTTGTATAGCTCAGTAATTAACATCCATAAGCTTTACTATGAAAAAGTAACTCTTAAGCAGTGGCAGGATATCTTCAGACAGGTAGAAAATGCCACAATGCATTAATTTCTGCCATTATAGGTAGCCTTTATAAATTGATAAAAGAGAATATTTGAAACAATACAGTAATATTATCTAATGATAGTAGCTTACCTTGGTCTCTGGGTGTAATCTGCACTTGAGTAAGGAAGGATGGTATGGGAAGCAACTGTAATTGACAACATGATGCTTCCCGAAAGTCAATGGTGCTACACTGATCTACTCACCTGATCTACTCCCACAGCCTGTTTTAAGCAGTGCTAATATATTTTGGGTCATGAACACATACAGCATTTCCAAAAGACAGAGACTTTGGAAATTGTCTGGACTACAGAGGGTGCTTTAACGAACAATATGCTTTATAAGAGAAGAAATATACACCTCTCTCCAGTTCCTGTGTTTTATTACATTGTTTGCTCAAGATCTCCTTAGACACTCACCCATACTTACCATTCTAGTTTTCTGATTATGGGAAGTTAATTTAAAAATGCAAAAAATTATTATTGCTACTATGTACACCCAAACTTAAAATTCTAAGGTCTATTTGCATTTTCCTCAGTCTTGTATGAAGACCCCAGGCAAGGATTCTTAGGCTAGATGATGCTGTTCATTACACCTCCAAATCCTGATTAATTACTTCTTCCTTTGCAGCCTATCAGCTCAATCCTTGCATAGATATATTAACTCTGTATGAAGCAGAAAGATTCACTATGTGTTCATAGAAAGATGTAAACTGCGTAACACCAGTAAGATGCAACTTAGCTGACAAAAAGGATGCTATGGTCAGAAAAGTAATCCCTCTGAAAAATGGTCATTAATACCTACTGTATTCTTCCATCTCCTTCCTCTTCCATCTTCCCTCTCTCTGTTGAATGATCCTTAACTTGCATTCTTTGGTAGGACTTAGCTACCTACCAGCATGCTGTTCCATATAAGCATTAATTGCAGAATCATAGAATGATTCAGGTTGGAAGAAACCCTGAAGAACATCAAGTTCCATGGACAGGGACACCTTCCACTAGACCAGGTTGCTCAGAGTCCCATCCAACCTGGCCTTGAACACTGCCAAGGGTGGGGCAACCACAGCTTCTCTTGACAACCTCTTCCAGTGTCTCAACACCCTCACCATCTTCCTAATATCTAATCTAAACCTACTATCGATTCAAAGCCATTCCCACTAGTCCTGTCACTATACTCTTGTAAAAAGTCTCCATCTTTCTTTTATGCTCCCTTCAGGTACTGAAAGGTTCCATTTAGGTCACTCAGAAGCCTTCTGTTTTCCAGGCCAAACCATCCCAATTCTCTCAGCCTTTCCTCATCGCCTGATCCCTTCACCCCACTAATCATCTTGGTGTCCTCCTCTGGACTCATTCCAACAGGTTCATGTCCTTTGACAACCTCTTCCAGTGTCTCAACACCCTCACCATCTTCCTAATATCTAATCTAAACCTACTATCGATTCAAAGCCATTCCCACTAGTCCTGTCACTATACTCTTGTAAAAAGTCTCCATCTTTCTTTTATGCTCCTTTCAGGTACTGAAAGGTTCCATTTAGGTCACTCAGAAGCCTTCTGTTTTCCAGGCCAAACCATCCCAATTCTCTCAGCCTTTCCTCATCGCCTGATCCCTTCACCCCACTAATCATCTTGGTGTCCTCCTCTGGACTCATTCCAACAGGTTCATGTCCTTCCTGTGCTGGGGACCCCAGCTCTGGATGCAGCACTGCAGGAGGGGTCTCACAGAGAGGAGCAGAGGGGCAGAATCCCCTCCCTCACCCTTCTGGTCACGCTGCTTTGGAGGCAGCCCAGGACACCTTTGTCTCTCTGGGCTGTCAGTGCACATGGCTGGGTCATGTCCAGCCTCTCATCCAGCAGCACCCCCAGATCCTTCTCCCCAAGGCTGCTCTTGATCTGTGCATCCCCCAGCCTGTGTTGGTGTTGGGGGTTGCCCATGTCCATGCCAAACAGAGCAGATAATTTTGCAGTTTCCCCTTTTACAGACTCACAGAATCACAGAAGAAGCTGAGTTGGAAGGGACCCACAAAGATCAGTGAGTCCAACTCCCAGCCCTGCACAGCATCATCCCCAAGAGTCACACCATGTGCCCAAGACTGCTGTCCAAATACTTCTTGGATTCATTTATTCACAGATCATGAATTTTCAGTCTGTAGTGAACAGTATTAAGCCAAAGATTTTTATCCTATTTTCACTTCCCAAGCTTAATTTAGATTCCTGAGCATTTTTTTTTGAGATGTTCTCCTACAGATGAAGAGCCACCACACACTTCTCCATCCTAAAAAACGGGGTAGAATATGGAAATAAAACCCCAAAGGGCCCAGAGAGAGAATATAACCCTGCTCTACACACTCCTCCAGCTCTCCCCTCACAGTTTGAAACCTTTTGTTCTAACCATTTGATCCCAAGTCCACCAGGAAAGATTTTAGGCAAATTTCATTCTTATATATGAATCAGCAGCAGACTAAGTCAACTACTTCAGAAGGGTCAAACACTCCTCTTGCAAGTGCAGCCTGCTGCAACAGTAAGCTGGCCTGTCAAGGCAATCTCTGAATTTGCAGAAGCCTGCTGTCCAGGATGCTAGGGTGAAGAACTGTGCTTATCACAAAAGCCTAAACAAGTAGGCAGGTGAAGTGTTAAATACCAAAGAGTCAGTTAAAAGCAGAACTTTGAGCCCTAAGACCTAAGAAAAGTGAGTTTACATTTATGCTGCTCACTGGAAATAAATTAACACAAGCAGGAATTTATCCAATAACTCATTAATGAGGTCACTCCACCAGTGTAGCAGAAGTAGTTGACTGTAATTCAATGCTTCAGTGGGTGAGGAGACAGCTTTCTCCATCTACAGCTTTCCTCTAAAAAGGTAAAGTCATATCCTACAAATAGCACACCGAGAAACTCTCTCTAGAAAGTATGTGGATACTCACCAGGTGGGAATGATGGTAAGTTAATATTTACTTCTCTGTATCTCACCATGCAAAAGAAGTCACAGATTTTTCAGGAAGTTTTATCCTAGTTTCTAGATGCTGTAATCTCTACCACCATATGATCTATTTCAGCACCTGATACTATGAAAACTCACCCAGAATTCTGGCAGTATTGCACTTCCTGTGTTTATTTTAGTACAGTACCACAAAGCAGAACTTCTCAGGTGTTTACAACTGAAGCCTCAAAGGAAGCAATGAAGCCAGAATCACTTCATGACCAGCTGGAGCACTAATGGCTTGGATCTTACAATGCTCTATCACAGAAAAATTCAAAGGGATTTAATTTACCTTGACCTTGTAGTACTCCTTGACTTCAGGCTGAATGGAATCAAAATCACCACTGATGTAATCAGGCAAGAAGCTGAAAGGAAAGCAATGAGCAGTGAAATGAAAAATTAATCCAGCTTACTATATTTAATATTTATTTTCTCAAGAGTGCTTTGAGGTACAAGCATTAATCTTCTTAAAAGAACATGAGTTCTTTAAAAGCATGTTAAGGCAAGTTGGTGCGAGGTGATACAAAAAAAGGTAACAAACAAAATGTAAAACTGGTAAATCTGTCGTCCCTTTGCTGAGGGAGCTGCATATTGCTTAGATGCTTATATATCTCTCCAGCTCAGTAAGACTTGTATTTGTCTGGTCCTAGAAAGACAACTTTCAAATATCTTTCAAATGTATCGTTCAGTCAGCAAAGTGTTTGAAATAGCATATCAAAGTGCTGTATATCAAGCTTCAGAGAATATCATTTGTCAGAAAATGATGATGCTTCTTGGACAGCTGGTATGCCATAAATGTTTCAAGGATTTGTATTTTAGTTGTTAGTGATGTCATCTTGTTTCTACTCTTCTCTATTATTAACAATATTCCCAAAATATGGAAGCCAAATGCCCAGTGATTTTTAACTCACACGAACTTAATTTCAACTGCTAACCGTTATTTGTACAGTAATATTGCTGCAAAGCACATAGAAATAATTTTGTGATATTTATCTTATCTTGCCACATGTAGCTTTTTAATTGCAGAATGCTTAAAAATATTTATTATATAAATTTGTGTCAAATTCCTAAGGAAACTTCCCCTGTGCTATAGAAAGAACATTGTAAGACTATCTTTTCAAAAAATATCAATGCCCCCCAAAACACTCAACACAGCTTTCCATTTTGCACAATTTCTTGAGTTTTAAGAAGCAGCTGACAGGTGAGAGAGTGTTTCCACTGTTTCAACAGATAAGGCTGCACTGAGTTTTGAAAGTAAAGCTGTGATTTTAGTTAACTCCACGGCTACCATACTTTACAATGGGGATGACAGTTCATTAGCAAATTAGTTTCCAGCTTAAATTGTGTGACAAGGAATTGAGCAGAGTATATTTTTTGTGCCACATGATTTCAGAAGAATGCTGCAGGGTCTAGAAACTCCTCATATCAGTAAAACTTATAAAAATCTCATGTTCTGTGTCCGTGCAGAGATTTCAAAAGAGACGCGTGGTCACTGGCAACCATTTTCTTTGAAAACTGAAAGCTGCTCCAGTAGAAGCTGGTAAGTACAAGTGCTGTGAGTTATGTGCAAGTCATGTGCAACTATGGCATTTCAAACTCCCTGCTCTCCACCATTACTAAGGTTGTTATAAAAGGATATGTTCTAAAAATAATCCCTCCAGAAGTGATGGTCCAACACTCATTGCAGTGAGAAGGGCAGTCCCTGCTGCACTGGGTTTGAATGAGGACACAGGAATCAAGTAGGAGAAATACAAATGCTTCAGTGCTCTGTTTCATATGCCTCCATCAGTATGGTTCAAAACTAAACAGAAAATTAGGTTTGCTCCTTCATTGTAAAGACTGACCTTTCCCATGTACAAAAAATACCACATTTTCAAAAGTTAAAATTTAAATAGTTGGTTTTCACCTTTCCATGAGTTCCCTAATAAAATATTTACTGAATACAACAAGCCTAAAAACTTGCAGGTATTCTCTTTCAATTTGTTATTTTATAATTATTTTTTCCTGATTGAAATAGAGCCATAAAAAGTAAACTCAATCTAGGCATTTCAGTGGTGGCCCTGAATGCAAGCCCCGGAGGTGTTCCAGGAGGCTGGGCAGGAAAAACAGCAGCCAGTTGTTATGGAATGCTAGCTTGATATGACATAAGACATCCACTGGGATGAAAAAGCTGATTATCTTACTATAATGCCATATATAAATCCAAAAGTGTTTTTCCTTTTCTTTTTTTTCCCCCTCTCTACAGCAGCTACAAATCACAGTGCTTTTAAATAATCAACTATTTCTCCTGAATGCTTCAAGAGATATAACTGTGAGAAGAATTAGCCAAAAAAACCAAACAACTGTCTTCTAAGAATCAAGTGCTCATTCACAGCTTTTGTTCTCATCCAAAGTGAAGCAATTTCCAATCAAAAGCTAGTTTGAATTTTTTCAAGCAGAAGGAACAGGCATTTCAGTGGCATCTTCCATGGGCTCTGCCGGGGCTCCTGTCTGTGCTTCCTGAACATGTCTCCTCTGCCAGGAAGCTCTATGTCCATTATCAACATACCCTCTCTAAATCACTCACTTGGAGCAACCACAAAACCAGAAGTGACTAAAGGGAATAAGGAATTGTGACTGGAGACTTCAAAATTTCAAGATGTCTAAGGCTCCCATTAATGATCATGAAGAGAAGAATTCCTTCTTCTTTTCTCCTTCCCTTTTAGAAACACCAGAAGCAAGGAAAACCCAGAAAGACATGCCTAATGAATTAAAAAAAAAAATCAGTAAATCTCAACTCCACTGTCTGCTTTCACAAACATGAAAAAATGTCTGCTTTATCTTCAGAGGGAGGATGGCTGCTCTTTGTAGCTCACTGACTATGCAAACCAGCAAAAGTGTGGAAGAGGTTTTACAGCGACTTCTGTGAGCTAGAGATGTTTGATAAGAAGATTCATGTTTACCCCCGAAAGAACTCTCTACCAAGGTCGTTGACAAAGAAACCAAGAAAGAAAGAAGGATAAATAAGAGAAACCCGCAACTGCCTATTCCAATAAGCACTTTTTTGTGTCTCGTGACCAATTAGTAAAGTGCAAACTTATGAGTTTTGTAAGAATGTATAAAAAGCATCCATGCTGTAGGTTTGAAGCCTTCTGAAGATGGAGTGTGTTGCTTTGTATTGTCTCTGTCTCAGCTACAACACAAAAGTAAGCCAACATTCAGTACAGAGTCAAAGGCTGCATTTGACACAGTCCTTTTTGAGTTCTGTGGAACAAATTGCTTGATCCGGTGAGCAGACTTGAGTCTCTTTCCAACTAACACAAGTGAACAAGGCTCATTGTGTGAGGAATTCTTCTTGACTGACTAACCTCAGAGGTTAGCACTGATATAGAAGTAGGGGAAATAGTTGAGAGTTATATGGAAAAAAAAAACTTCATACTGAAGTAACTCAACAATATTTTGTAATAATTGGGTTTCACTGGTTTGCTTTCATATAGTTTTGTACTTACTCCTGAGTACAGACTCTGGTGCAGGAGAACAGGTTTGGGAGAATCACACATCAAGCTTACTTCTATTTGAGTGGAAGAAATGATGTCAGGAGAAAAGTAACAAGAAAAGCCTCTCCATAAAAGTTAAAACAGCTGCCCGTATTTAAAGTACAGATTAAAACCAGGTATTATATTAGTCTAACCCAGGTTTTCCTGCCCTCTGAACTAAAATTAATGAATAATTCTTATTCTGATGCATAACTGTATTGAATATGACATATTTCAGTAACATATCTGACACACATCCTTTAGTGAAGGAATTTAACTTTTTGCCCATGATGGCAAAATATGTCTTTAATTCCCAGTGCAATTTAAAATTTTAATTTCTAAACAGTCCTGATGATGCAGTCTACTGCATTTCAGAACCATATTTTATCAGTCTCATTAGCTATTAATTATCACTATGCATATAAGGTCATGACCAGCTCAGCTGGCTTGATTCTCTGCTGCTTTATATTGACATTTATCAGGAGTGAGCCAAATCCTTAATCCTAATGGGACTGAAAGTACAAAATTCATGTGAGATCAGCCTAGTCTATGAAGTCTTTTCTAGAGCTGTCAAGAAGCATAACACCAGGCACTGGGCAACAAAAAAATCTTCAGAGGTTTTGGGCCAACTGGAGTTTTTCTTACTCTTTTCAATGTCTTTTGGCTTTCCTGTGTGTTGAAGGATTTATTTTGTTTGGATTTAGGTGTGTGCTTTCTGTTTTCTTTGGACTTGCTTTTTTTTTTTTCCTCATCAGGGTATTTTTTAGAATCCTACTGCATCCATCTGAGTATGGAGTCCTGAGGGCCAGGATTACTTTCAGATAAGGATCCAAAGGCACTCCATACCAGACTGCTTATCTTTTATCTAACTTCTTTTACTTCTTTCTTTTAAAGCCCCCATAGTTTCCACATGAAACCTCTAAAAGTTTAGCTAGCTTAGGAAGGAAAAACAACACTATTTCTCAACAGTTTGGGATGGATGCCAGCTAGACGATTTATACAAATTGGATAAAGGCTGAATGTTGACTGAACAGTTTTATGAGCTCCCAGGACCCTCGGCTGGAAAACAAGGGAAAAAAAGAGATTCCAGCAAGTTTGACATAGTTCCCATTTACCCCAATAAATTTTTAGTTACCAGTACCATAAAGTGGCAATTGATTCTTATCATAGACAGATTACAAAATGAATAAAAGCTATTATTATACTCTGAGGCTCTGTGAACAAGCACAACTGTGCCTTTTCCCTTCAAGTAATATATCTAACAGACACAGCAATATTGTTTTAAAATATTCAGCACTAATGAACATGAACATTTAACATATTTAACACTAGTGCTAAATTTAAAACATCAGAATATTTGCTTCTTTATTCACTCACTTTAAGAATTCAGCGTGAAGTGTTAAATATGCGTTTTCACACAGTTATGAAAAAGAAAAAGAAAACCCACAAAAACCCACACAAAACCATCACACTGTAGCAGTTTATACTAAAAAACCCATGCTGCCTTCTTAAATAAAATGCTTGGGCATAACTGCTCAGCTCTATCATTAATTCAAAGTTACAGTTTCCTAGTAGTATTGACTTTTCTTGTGATACAGCTCCTTCAGCACATAATTGCATGCAATTAACCTTTTTAAAACAAATGTTAACATCAGAGACATGAGCATTTAAAGGCAGTATCTGCACACCCTTTGATTCCTTCAGCTACAGCACAGAAAATAATCCCATGCAGACAAACCATGTGTCCCCCAGCCATAACATCTGAGGGCACAGAGTGGGTTCCCTATGTTTTTTCTTCACTACTAAAAATAAATTTGAAAATGGGTGTATTTTATCCTGGACTAATAGGC